GGGGGCTAGAGGGAGTAAATGGAGGAAAAAAGTGGACATATGTAATACTTTCAACAATAAAGAATGATTAAAAATAAATAAATCAGAGTGCCAGCTCAGTGGTGTCTGGTGGAACTTTCTTCCTGTCTTGTAGATGGCCACCTTCTCACTGCTATGTCCCCACTTGGCAGAGAAAGGGGGAGAGGGAAGGGGGGAGATCGGGTGTCTTCTCTTATAAGGGCACTAATCCCATCAGACCAGGACCCCTCTCTCATGACCTCATCTAACTCTAATTACCTCTTTTCTTCCTGGTTCCCTTCCCTTCCCTTCCCTTCCCTTCCCTTCCCTTCCCTTCCCTTTCCCCTTTCCTTCCTTTCCTTCTTTCTTGCATGTGGATTGTCCAGCACCATTTGTTGAAAAGATTACAATTTCTTCACTGTATTGCCTTTGCTCCTTTGTCAAAGATCAGTTGCCTATATTTATGGAAATATCTGTTGAATACTCACAAAAAGTGTACTGGATATTATGTGCTAGGTATTATGATAGCACTACCATGCAAAACTTGTTGTCTATAACCTGATGACACAAAACAGCACAGGTGAGCTTGTAGAAGGGGCACATTAGTTGTGCCACACCTTATCTGATCACCTCTAGTCCTGTGCCAAAGTCACCAGGCCCATTTCCTCCACACCTTCTATCAGGTTTTCCTTTGTGAGGCCTCTTACTGGATAGAATTCTAGTCTAGCCCATAAGGAAGAGGACAGGAAAGTCTTTCTGTACAAATTGAGTTTGTAAATTGGAGGCACAGGGTCTCTATGATTGCCTGCATGTTCACTGAGTAAGAATATTCAAGTTTCGCCCTGACCAGTTTGGCTCAGTGGATAGAGCGTTGGCCTGCGGACTGAGGGGTCCCAGGTTCGATTCTGGTCATGGGCATGTACCTTGGTTGTGGGCACATCCCCAGTAGGGGGTGTGAAGGAGGCAGCTGATCGATGTTTCTCTCGCATCGATGTTTCTAACTCTCTATCACTCTCCCTTCCTCTCTATAAAAAATCAATAAAATATATTTTTAAAAAAGAATATTCAGTTTCCCCACCTGCAAACTGTAAGAAAGTGACTACCACTTAATTATTATCTGATAACAAGTTTATGCTGAGAAATATAAACTGTTGAGAAAATGGAGTCCTTCTGGGTCAAATGGTGCAAAAGGGGCATACATATTAAAGGTGCACCATATGTGCCTGCTAGTGAGGTCTGCTAGAGTTAAATCTAGTAGTGGCTAGTGTCATAGTTCCTTCTCTCCTCCCACAGTACTCACCCCCAAACACATGTGGGAAATATTTAGTTTCTAGTACATGAGCTTTCTAGGAAGTCCTGTTTCTAAGAACTTGAGTTTCTGGAATCTTAGGGATTTGTTTAAACTGCCAAGGAGAGGTGACTATGCTGGTTATTACTACTTTTCCTAAAATGGATAGTACTAAATAAATCAGTCATTTTTTTAAAACCCAATTTAGATAAACAGACCTTAATTACCAGGAAGGCTTTGCAAATTCCAAGGATTCTTCTTAGGAGTTTTGGCAAACAGTGAAAAGCAAATCAACAGGACAGGCCCAGGGCTGCACATCTGCCAGGCTTTTTGTCCCTGGCACTGCCCATCAGCTCGAAGCAGCTCCCTCAGGTGCAGACAGCCCCCAGGGCCTCTCTGTCCAGATCCTTCTCCCTGGGGAAGGGTGACTCCAAATAGAGTTGAGTTTTATGCCATCAATTGCTGAAAACTGGTGATTAGCTGGAGACTGTCAATCATCCACCCCCACGTCTATTTCAGAGCCACCACAGTGTTCTTGTTCTGGATCACTTCTCCCTGCCCCAGGTTATCATGCCCTGGCTACTCATTACCCAGAGTAACGCTCTTTCCAGCGTACTTTACTTTATATCCACTCTTTTATGGCTGTTTTAAACACACAATTACTAGGGAAGAATAGGTGGCTTTGAGGTATAAAACATCAACTCCTGGCTCTCACAGTAATGTGACAGTCTCTACCTTGCAGAATTATGGGTTCGGTTTGGTATATAGTTTCATCTGGTTTATTTAGGTCATCACTTAAAATTTTTTACATACACACACAGTATGTCCCTCCCTCCACCCAGGACACAACAACAACGACAATTTTTGTTTAACAAAATAGACGCTGCATCACACCTCATTTATGGAGCATTCACTCTATGTTAGACACATTTCCAAGAAGTTTAAATGTATTAACTCATTAAAAGACAGACTAAATCAAGCTGATAGGAT